GAAAAGAAATCAGCAAATGTTGTCACCTCTCGACATCTTTGGAGAAGGAGCATCCGGGTATGGTAATTCTTTACCATTTGTTCTTTCAAGATGTAATTCACCGAGTGGTGGATGGATAGTGGTGCAAATATACATGTGTGTGCCTTGATGTTTCTCTGCTTTCTTCCTACTGGTCGAGAGAGGTCTGGGCGCCTTGTTGATGGGAAATGGGTCGCGTGCTCATGTTCTTGGTGTTGGTACGGTCACTCTAAAGTTTACTTCGGGAAAGACGGTGCCATTGAAGAGCGTGCAGCATGTGCCCTCCATCAAGAAGAATCTTGTTAGTGCATCTATGCTATGTCGAGATGGCTACAAAATTGTTCTAGAGTCGAATAAATATGTTGTGTCGAAACATGGTTCCTTTGTTGGTAAAGGATATGATTGCGGAGGCTTGTTCCGCTTATCACTGCATGATGTGTGTAATAAAATGGTGAATTATGTTAATATTTCTGATGAGTCGGATTTATGGCATTCACGTTTTCATTATGCAAGTTTTGGTTCGTCTTATGCGTTTAGCAAATCTAAATTTAATTCCTAAATTCAATTTGGTCAAACAGTCTAAGTGCCATGTATGTGTTGAATCAAAACAACCCGTAAGCCTCACAAGGCTGCTGAGGCGAGGAATTTAGCACCTCTAGAACTTGTCCATTCTGATTTGTGCGAAATGAATGGAATTTTGACTAAAGGCGGTAAAAGATACTTCATCACTTTTATAGATGACTCCACCAGGTTTTGCTATGTGTATCTCTTAAAAACAAAAGATGAAGCGTTTAATTATTTTAAGACCTATAAAGCTGAAGTTGAGAATCAACTTGAGAGGAAAATAAAGCGGTTAAGGTCCGATCGAGGTGGAGAATATTTCTCTAATGTTTTCGATGAGTTCTGTGTGGAACATGGTATTGTTCATGAGAGGACACCGCCATTCTCACCACAATCCAATGGGATTGCTGAAAGGAAAAACCGCACTCTAACAGAGTTAGTGAATTCCATGTTGAGTACAGCGGGATTATCCAAGGAATGGTGGGGTGAGGCAATTTTGACAGCATGTCATGTCCTGAATAGAGTCCCAACAAAGAACAAAGAAATCGCACCATTTGAGGAATGGGAAAAGAGAAGATTAAATCTCTCATATTTGCGCACTTGGGGTTGCTTGGCTAAAGTAAATGTGCCAATCAACAAAAAGCGTAAACTTGGGCCTAAAACTGTTGATTGTATTTTCCTTGGCTATGCCTTTCACAGCATTGGTTATAGGTTCTTAATTATAAAATCTGAAGTTCCTGATATGTATGTTGATACAATCATGGAATCAAGAGATGCTACTTTCTTTGAGAATGAATTTCCAATGAAAAATACACCTAGTGAAACAAGTCATGAGACTATAATTCCCCCATGAACACGAACTGTCTATTCCAACAGATCATCTTTCAAGATTTTCATGTGCACATCCACGAGAAGGATGACACTATAGTCACTCAAAAGAGCAAGAGGCAGAGGGTTGCAAAATCCTTTGGTGATGACTATTTAGTGTACCTTGTGGAAGACATACCAACCACCATTAGAGAGGCATATTCTTCTCCTGATGCTGACTTGTGGAAGGAAGCAGTAAGGAGTGAGATGGATTCTATTATGTCTAATGGAACTTGGGAGGTCGTTGACCGTCCTTATGGTTGTCAACCTATAGGTTGCAAATGGATTTTCAAGAAAAAGCTTAGGCCTGATGGTACAATTGAGAGGTACAAGGCAAGGCTTGTGGCCAAAGGATATACCCAAAAAGAGGGTGAAGATTTCTTTGACACCTATTCACCAGTTGCTCGATTGACTACAATTCGCACCTTAATTGCCGTGGCTGCCTCTTATGGTCTTATCATTCATCAGATGGATGTTAAGACAACTTTCCTGAATGGAGAGTTAGAAGAGGAGATCTATATGGATCAGCCAGAAGGGTTCATTGCGGATGGTCAAGAGAGCAAGGTGTGTGTTGTTATTAAAATCATTATATGGCCTAAAACAAGCACCTAAGCAATGGCATGAAAGGTTTGATAATACTCTCACATCTTCCGGTTTCTCTGTGAATGAAGCTGACACATGTGTGTATTATCGATATGGTGGGGGTGAAGCTGTTATGTTGTGCCTATATGTTGATGACATCCTGATCTTTGGATCAAATCTCAATGTGATTGAGGAAGTAAAGAAACTTCTGTCGAGCAATTTTGAAATGAAAGATTTGGGAGAAGCTAATGTTATTTTAAACATCAAGCTTATTAGAGAAGGTGATGGTGGGATAACTGTTATAATCCCACTATGTGGAAAAGGTACTAAGTCGCTTTGGTTTTAGTGGATCGTGATCCCGCTTCCCACGCCTTATGATCCTAGCGTGCTATTGAGGAAAAATCAAGAAGAATAGCAAGGATCAACTAACATACTCCCCAGATCATTGGCTCACTCATGTACCGGGGCGAGTGCAACAAGGCCTGACATCTCATATGCTGTGAGTAAGTTGAGAGCGGTTTGTGTCAAACCCGGAGATGATCACCGGCATGCTCTTGAGAGAGTGTTGCGTTATCTGAAAGGTACTATGACTTATGGTATTCGAAGATATGGATATCCAAAAGTACCGGAAGGCTATTGTGATGCCAACTGGATTTACGATCGTTGATGAGCTTCATGCCACGAAAGCGGATATGTGTTTCTCGCTTGAGGTGGCGCATGCTTCTCGAAGTCTTGCAAGCGAGACTATCTTAACGAAGTCTACAATGGAAGCGTAACTCATTGCATTGGACATCTTCTTTGGAGTGAAGCCGAGTGGCTTCATGATTTCTGTTGGATTTACGGTAGTTGAAAAACCGATACCGGCTATCTCAATGAACTGTGACAACCGATTTGTGATTACAAAGGTCAACAGCTCCGGGAATAACATGAAGTCCACAAGGCATGTTAAAAGAAGATTAAAGACCGCCGAAAGTTGAAAACCTCCGAGTTATAACGTTGGACTATGTCCACACGTCGAATAATCCGCGAGATCAATTCACTAAGGGACTGTCACAAAATGTGATAGAAAGTGCATCGAGAGAGATGGGTATGAGACCCACATGAAATCTCATGTAGTGGTAACTCTGCTCTATGTGATCGGAGATCCCGTGAAGTAGAGTGGTGAAACAAACTATGAGTAGATTGAGAGGAAAGTTCCCCTACTGAACCTATCTCCGATGTATATATTTTTTTTCCTTCAGAAGGCAGGATGGTATTTACCTTAATGTACCCGAGAGTCTTATAAAGATGAGATGTTGTCCTCTGTAACATCTTTTGAGAAGTACACCTATATGAGTCGATCGCTGGTCACAGTCTATGGGACACGGGTTATCCTAAACACTCATGAAAGGCATAGAAGTGTGACTTATATGCTTCAAACAATGGGATGCTTGTTGCAACCTAGTATGCAAGCAAAGGACTTGAGTGAATCTCACCTCACACAAAACTGTCAATTCAAGGCATAGTCCATTGTTCAGTTGTGACTGAGTGAAACTCTTGTTCTAGGTGGATGTTCAACTTAACAGTCTCCATCGAAACACTGGTATATCAAAGAATTATGATTCTGGAACTATACAGTTAAAAACCCTAGAGTTTGGTGGGGATTGTTGGATTTATTATGGGCTAGGCCCATTTATAAATTTAATAAATCAATAACTCTATAGTTTGTAATTGTGGGTATTACTATTTGTACCGGATTGGAAGTTAAAAGGACGTTGACTCAACTTAAATGATTGGAATTGATCCGTCTAATTTGAGAAGTTGAGAAACGGACAAAGGCGTGCCACATGCCTTGCTGCTGCCGCCGCCGCCGCCCGGCCGGGCCGCACGGCGGGCTGCAGGCACGGGCGCTGGCGTGGCGTGGCGTGGCGTGGCGTGGCGTGGCGAGGCGAGGCGGTAAGCGGGCGGGCGTGGCGTGGCGTGGCGTGTTATCTTTTTAATACCCACTAACCACGGGAGTTTCAACTTGAAGCCAGTCTGACTCCTGATCTCCCGGAGTCTCTCCACCTTCCTGTCCCGACGCATTCCTCCGGGACCTCTCGGCTTTTCCTGTTAATCTTCCAACTCCAGTTAAAGAGAGAGTACTCATCCAGAGATACGGTTCAGTTGCTTGATGGCCTTCCTCATCTCGTAACTCTGCGCGCACGGAGAAGCGAGAGGGCAGGTGCCTCCGAAGCCCTTGTCGTTCGAGACCTTGCTCGGGGGATCGGCAATTAGGTTTTTGGGGAGCGTCTACGTGACTGCCCGAAGAGTCTCCGTCTCCGTACGCCTACGTCGTCTTCTTCCCGATCGCTGGCGTCACCATCTTCTTCCTGGAGGAGGAAACACCTTCTTCTTCTACGGCATGACAAGGGACGTTGCTGGAACTTCAGAATCGCGGATGGGAGGGTATGATTGTTTCATCATCTTTCTGTTTTATGTTCTACATGTTTCAGCAGTTCTTCAGTTTGCTTCATATCTTATATCTGTTCATGCTAGAAATATGCTTATGTCTGTTCATGCTAGAAATATGCTCTGCATATGTGTTTCCTTCTTACAGTTCTGATTCATTGTACCGTATATAGCTTTATGCTTGTTGCGAGATATGAGATGTATATCATGCCATCTGCTTTCTCTCTCGTTATTCATGAATCAAGTTCTCATGCTTTTGATCTTTATAAGTTTCACATGATATATGATCTAGCATGTATTTTCACCATGGATATAATCGATATCATGATTACAATGATTAATAATTGTTTATATGTCATCATCATGCTGTTGATTTATGAAATTAAAATGACATGGAAATTGCCTATTATCCTAACATCTTCCAATCGCATTTCACTCTGAAATTTCATTCTTATCGTCCATGGAATCTTGAAGAATTTCAAGTTTGATCCCCGACCAATCACGGCATTTGCCTTTCATCATCGATCGTCACCAAATAAAGTTCACCTCCTGCGTCGCTGTCCGTGGAAGCCTTTGAGCCTCCCGTAGAGCATGAGGAGAACAAGGAGCAGCTTCCCCTGGTCGGTCCACCACCCGGAGAAGCTGTATGGCTTGTCATGGCAGGCGGCGGTCGCCTCCTCCGCTGCCGGCGGCAGCCTCGAGCAGCTGTAGCCAGTGGACAGCCCCACGTTCCCATAAGCACTGAAATGCATGCAGGAATCCATATGTCAGTTTCAGAAGCTCCTGATGAGTGACGGGCAGATATATATGGTTTGTGAACTGTGATTGTGATGTTCGTCAATCGTGCATGTACACCTCACCTGATCACCTCGAAGATCACGTTGAACGTGGAGAAGTTGAGCGGGTCGCCGGAGATCGATCGCCTCTCAGTGATGCAGGCGAGCATTACCGCTGCGGCGTTGCAGGCCAGCGGCGACAGCAGCATGCTGTTCAGCGACAGTCTCCTCTTCTTCTCCGCTCCATCCCTGCTTTCGGGTTCTCCGGCGCCGCTCCTTTTCATTTCGCTTCCGTCGTCGTGCACCGATAACAATGTCGCCGACGCCGGGATGCACCTGAAAATCGTCGGTTGCCATGCAAAATCTGTTAATGATCGAACAACATGTTTGTCGCGTAGTATACTTCAATTTCGCGCGGAGGAGCGTGACTGACATCATGGCGAGGAATAGCACCAGCACCGCCGGCGCGACGAGGGAGCAGTCGACGGAGTTCTCCCCGGCCTGGCGCACGTTCACGGACATGAACACGGCGTTGGTGAGCTTCTCGCCGGCGGTGAGCCCCTGAACACCGCGGAGTTCCAGTTCAGGCAGCAGAGGAGCGTCGCGGCGCGCGGCCGCGACGGCGACCACCGTGGCGGCGAGGGAGGCTGCCCGCGGGCCTCTTGGCAGCAGGTGGCCGAAGCCCGCCGCTGCGGCGCTCTTCTCCATGTCCATGGGCACGAGCTCCTCGACGGGTCCTCCTCGCCCGGTGAACAAGAACAACGCCCTCGCTAGCCCTCTCGTGGCGCTCACCGCCAGCCTGAGGAACACCGGGAGCAGCGTGCTGCCGGCGAGGATCTGTGCTGCCAGCAGTAGGAGCAGGCCACGGTTAGCGGCGAACACTGCCATGCTCTCGTTCGTCGGGAGCAGGCCGCCGTTGGTGAAGGACGACACGGTGGTGGACACCGAGAAGAGCGCGGCGCTGATGCGCTTCCTCGCCAGCACGTCGCGCGCGGTCGGGACAGTGGCGACGTACGCGAACACCAGCACGGAGCCGACGACGAGGATCGCGGCCATGTAGGCCGATACCACGAGCGCTAAGCTTCTGAAGGCGCGGCAGGTCTCCTTGCGATCGTCACCATCGCCGGACGAATCCGCAGACGGAGTTGGCGCCGGATTATTCGCCTGTTCGAGATCCGGCTCGTCGCAGACGGCGGCCGCCATGACCCTGCCGTCGTGATCTTGATGGTCGCGCTGCTGCTGTCGTCGCTTGCGCGACGACTCGAGGACGAGGCCGAGCAAGGAGACGAACATCTCTCTGCCCAGGAGCATGAGGAGGGTGAGGACGACGAGCTGGGCGCTGGAGAGGTCCTCCATCTCGACGGTGGCTAGTCCGGTGACCGTGACCGCGGACGTCGACATGAAGAACACGTCGACGTAGCGCGGATGGTACCCGGGGTTGCTTGGCTTGAGGAGGACCAAGGCGAGGAAGCCGAGCAGGTCGACGGCGAGGAAGTAGGACAGGTGGAGCAGCAGCGGGGTGAGGTAGACGGCGATGAGCCAGCTGACGAGCACCACCGAAGTGCTGACGGCGTGTCTCGCGGAGCTGGCCAAGACATGGAGCCGAATAGGCATTGGAGGTGGTGGTAGAGAAAGGGCAATGAGCAGTGCCTGATGATCTAGCTCTTGTTTCAATAGAAAACTAGTTACTGGTACTACATATGAAATCTAGTACAAGTGATAACTGGTCTCAATGGGTGTGTAATGTGTATATATACAACTTATATTAGCTTTGACAGAGCAGTGGTCATATGGAAATGCAACTGTTTCAGGGCTTTTTTTTTTTTGAAAGAACAACTGTTTCAGGGCTGTTAGTGGTGGTGAGGAGGACATGTGTGCAATGCAAGTGTGGTAGCATGGCTCATCGGGCAGCTTTCAGAACTTAATAATGGCATGCGCGCCTGCAGATGGAGCACGCCGTGAGTGAGATGAGATGAGATGCCTGAATACGCGCGAAACTACTACGTACGTACAAAAGGACTGGAGAAAATTCAGTTCAGACTTCAGAGCCTTCTGCACATGCGTACGTGGTGAGCCTTTCTTTGCCCAACCGTCTGCCATGGCGCCGAGGGCAACCACGGCCAGATCAGGCAAAGTGGAATGGCAGGATGGCAGTCGGCTGCTCCTAGAGGCTGGAGGCAGGCAGGCGAACCCCAGCCACTAGTAACTGAAAAGAATTCATGCCCCTGGTCACTTAAATGTGAGTGAAGATTAGCAGGCATCTCTGCTTTTCTTACACAAGCTGGAAGACTTCAACTCACAAATGCTGTGCGTCTGCCCTTCCAACCATCTACCTTTGCTCCCTCACCCTATCAGATTAAATCATAAGTCAAATAGATAAGTTTCGAAAGCATTGCCTTTGGAAAGGTGCAGATTTTATAATTCCAAAAAAAAAACCCTCCAATGCTGCTTGGGAATTGGTGTGCATTCCAAAGGAACCAAACGAGGCCTAAGAGAATTCTATGAACTTGAACCTACCAGCAAAGCCTTCAACCTACCCCTTTCCACAGAGGCTTTCAACCAACTGAATGAAGTGCTTTTCATTATCCATTACCTGCCGCTAACCAACAATCAAGACAAATGGTATTATTCTTGGGGTCAAGATTTCTCACCCTCAAAAGCCTATGCTCTTTTAATCGCACATAGACAGGTTCGCATTGGTATCAAATGGCTTTGGGAATGCTTCTGTCAGCCAAAACACAAAGTTTTCTTTTGACTCCTTATTATGGACAGGCTCGGACCAAAAAAAATATCTTAAGAAGAAGGAATATGCATTTGGACTCTTATCAGTGTGTCGTCTGACAAGACCAAATAGAAGAAACAGTTCAACACTTGTTCATTGGCTGCAGGTTCGCTAAAAATTGTTGGAACATGTTAAATATCACCTTCACTCCAAATTCTGCATTCCCAGAGGCCATCATGCAAATCAGAGATCAGTCCAACACCCAATTCTTTATGTTAATCTCGATCCTAATGTGCAGGGCAATTTGGAAGCTTGTTAGGCATCTGGAATTTGTTCCCACTTTCAACAGATTCATCCAATTTGAGGTATCTGCTGCCAAGCACTCACCATATTCATCGAGCAAAACAATCTAAACACAAATTTAAAGAAATGACTATATTTTCAACAACCAACAGTCTCAGCAGTGGAAGACACGTTCAAAAAGGAGATGAATCCTTTGTCCTTAGATCGAGCAACTCCAAGAGACTCTCTATATTGTTCATAAATGCTAGGAATAGAGATTTTGGTGAAAAACTATCCTCCAACAGCTTGTCTAAATGGTTATCCAAATATAGCCATCTTCTATTCCGGTTTTTTCGCTAGTCCAAAATAGAAGATGAGAATGACTCTCTAGAGTATGCACGAGATATAAAAAAACTGTTGGAGAATGAAAAGATATAGAAAACGATTTTTATATAAATGACTCTCCAAATGATGATTTAGAGAGTGAGATATAGGAAGACTCTCGGAGATGCTTCTAAGAGCCTCCTGCAAAGACTCATTAGCTTTTGACTTATGGATCCAAATCTGTTGTAATCTTCATTTTGAGTTTCATTTTTTCTTCTCCTTTTTTGTGTCTTAAATTTGTATTCTGTATTCTGTACATTTCTTAGTTTCCCGTTAATAAAATCCTTGTAGGGGTGCAAACCGCTCCGGTCTTCAGGCCAGTGATACTGATATGATACGCCGGCGTCGATCGCCGGCAAATGAAGCAGTGGCCTATAACTACTACGCTCCAGAGTCCAGAGAGGCAGAGACCAAAGCTTGTAAAAGCGAGGCTGCCGGAGAGACACGGCTGCAGGACCATCATCGTCATCATGGTCGTCATCTCTCCATCTCCATGGACACGTTCGAAGAGCATGCTTAGCTAGGGGTTGTGGGGGGCAGCGATCGAGGAATAGAATTCAGTGCCTCCACTTGGTGCCATATGGCCGCCCGCGAGGCAAGTCCTCTGCATTTGGCGTAAGATCGCAAACGCCCTTGCTTGCCTTTGAACACTTGTTGCCTTGCGTCGATGGTGACCTGACGACAGCGATTGCTGCATGCTGCGGTGGGAGGGTGATAGCTCAGCTAGCTCCGGAGAAGAGCTGCATGCGAGATCAGATTCATGGCCAGAAACTCGGGAAGAGTTGCGTAGCTGTGGTGGTGGTGGATGCCATGCTCCCAAGGGACGTGTGCAGGGCACCCGTGGACATCCTCGGTTCCTTGCCAGCAATGGTACACAAGACGACGCATAGTAATTGCGCGCGAGCGCCAACTTACAGGCCTAGTATTTGGCAAGCTCTAGCTCCATTAATTTCTTTGATTTGAGGTGGAGCTATGGATATATTAAGGCTGCTGGATTGAAAAGCTATTTTGTTAGTAGTACTAATATATCAACCGTGCTCTTTTGTGTAGACAAGAATCTTAAGAGATACTCCCCCCCCCAAAAAAAAAAAAGGAATCTTTTCTTAAGAGATACTACCTCCATTCCAAATATAAGACATTTTATCTTTTTTAATATAGCTTTTGACGTTGAATACACACTATGTCTAAATACATAGTAGGAACAATGTATTTAGAAAAGTCAAAATGTCTTATAGTTTAGATTGAGGGGAGTATAAACATTACATATGTTCATGTTAAATACCTATGACTAATAAAAAAAAACTTATATTGCGTTCTCTTTCTTTGTTAATTATCTAACACAAATACACAATAGACACGTAGATACTTTGTAATGTTGCGGCTGCGGCTTTTGTTGCTTGCTTTTCAGTGATGCACTGGGCCGCCAGCAGCTGCAACGACTTAAATTCATCTCAAGCGAACTCCCCTCTATCTATTTATGATAAACTTATCAATTTATATATATATATATATATATATATATATATATATATATATATATATATATATTCCATCTTTCCACTTCACATGGCACATTATGTGTCTTTAATAAATTTAGTTAAGATCTGAGTTTATGATATGGTGAATTTTGTAGCGGATCATGCCTTGTGAAGTCATGAACATAGGTTTCTGACTTTCAAATTTCGATCTTATTACTTGCTATAAAGTTCTAACCTCAACAAAAGTTAAAACACTTTTTGCTTATTGTACATTTTATTTGCACCCCTCATTTTATATTTTATTAAAAATAAGAATTTTAGCTTATAGAGTGCACTCTTAATTATTGTCGGTAGGTAGCGTTTGAAATGAGATTGAGAGGAGCAAACTATGCTAACCTAAAGAGAAATTTAATACTAACTATTTACACCAAATGAATCTCAAAGTCCATCCAAGTAATTTGCACCTTTGCTTTGCATTAACCTCATCTATTACTCAAGATGTTAGATTTTTCTTATAAAAAAATTATGTGTGGTCATATTTTTTATAAAAAAATGAGTGCTCACAATTATATTATCAATAATTAGATATGTCGTTATATTTTAGCTAAAAAACTTACAAAAAATATTTTCATGAATAATAATATAATTTAAAATAATTTGTTAGTGTCATTAGAATATGAGTCATTAAGGATTTAAGGAACATTTTTCCATGATCATTGAAACGTTGCTCATTTGTGCATGTATACTTGATCAGTATGACTATTTTTATATGTATGTTTACCTTAAGTTATTTTTAATAGTAATGGGTAATTTAGAAGCACATATGGACATAATTTACAGTCATCTAAGCATTTTACATAATAGCAAATGGCAATAATTTAACGGGATATTTAATTTACCTTTAGTAATGACAAAAGTGGTAATCTAGATGTGAATTTAAGAGTTTACTTAGATTATTTGCAATAATGATAGGATGGCTAGTTTAGATATAAATTAAGAGTTACTTTATATTATGGTTCATATAATGGCACGTGTGGCTAACTTAGTTATGAACTTAGGAGCATTACTTTAGGTTGTTTTCATAATGGGCAATTTAGATGCAGATTTAGGGACGTTACTATACGTTATTTTCCATTACGGTAGATGTGGGTAATCTTTTTGAAACAGAATAGAACCAGTTGACTATATTAGTATTAATGGTGGTGCTTAGACTACAACCTAATAGATCGCTAGATTTTCCTGATTTTTGTCACAATATGATTTTTTTAACACATATAATGAGAATTAACGTGAAGCCTCACTTCGTAAGCCTCTAACTTTTTATGAGAGGTTATAGGCCTCTAACTAACTAGTAGTAATAATACTAAGATTTGAGATGAGACACACGCGCGCGCGCGAAGGGAACTTGAAATGCCATGCGGCTTACTCCATGGACTCGATAACAAGTAGCCCAATAGGTCTTTTTGGCTAGGCCGATATTGGGCTTTCATATTTGGATAACTTTATATTTAGGAGAAAAAAATATAATAACATCTAAGATAGGAAGCGACACGAACTCATGTGGCTGGGATGAGAAGTCAGCAACGCCTCTGACTCTGCTTCCACTGCCCGCGTCGACCCTGCTGGAGGCAGCGACCGTTGGTTAGTATAAGTCTGGAGTTCGGGCCAAGAGGCGAGTTCGGCCCAATCCCAAGGCGTTCGGGCCCGTGTGGCAGCCGTAGGCTAGTACAAGTCTGGAGAAGGAGAGA